TTAAAGTGCAGGCGAGCTTGTGTAAGTTATACATGATTGAATACCCGAGACTGTGGCACGATTTTCTGTTTTTCAAACCACAGTTTCAGGTTTTCAATCATCATGTATAACTGCATGACAGTCAACTTTTCGCAATAGACTTACGTACTTTAGACATTCTTGCGAAGCGGTGGGTGTCGTTTCGTGTCGGTGGAAGCTTTTGTATTTATGTCGAGTCCTCTGACCTTCTGGGTGTCCCGTCGGGTAAGGACATTAAGATTTTTTTTTGTTGTTCTATATGGCCTTAGAATCGGCTTTATTCCTGTACTGATTTTAAGGGTCTATAATAGTGCGCATCTCCAGAAGAAGCTTACTGGAGAGCGTAATAACTATATATGACGCCGTCATAGGCCGGACACGCGTTAAAGGAGCGATGCAACAATTTTTGTACTGTGCACAAATACCGCTTAAAACGGATCCCTAACGTCAATGACCTATGAAACACGCGTTCGTTTCTCACCCCACGCAATAGAAGTCCCAGAAAAAAATTTAAGAAAAACGAGCAGCGTTCACCCCCTCAACTCGCAGCCAGAACAAGCGGCCACGTGATCTGGAGCCGATTATATGCCGCCAGTGTTGATCATAGCCACGCGCTGGGGTTGGCAAAGCGCAGGACACGCGCTGAGTTCCAGACATTGTTATGGCTCGGCTGTTGTCGTCGTTGCAGCGATTGGACACGGGTCACAACCCGAATGCTTCTCGAGCTAGCAATTGTCACGAGCCCAAGTCCAGTGCCCACGCAATGCTCGGGTCCAATCTATGAACCGCATTCAAATATCGTCACTTGGGTGTACTGCGATCCCCGAGTTACGTCATCAAATTTTGCGAAGGAGAGATTGAATGAAAATGATCGCTTTTGTCCTTGAAATTACACCGCAACAAAGGAGTTTCTTGGCCAATGGCATTGCGTGTGAGTATCCTTGAGTCCCAGGTGTGCCAGTAAGCTCGTGTAGAGAGAAAAACATTCCAATTGAATATCGTTGCACAGCTCCTTTAAAGCTCAAGTGAGGTCTCCTGCCTCGGAGCATTGTTTTTGAAGAAAACATTGGTGTAATTTTTTTTGTACTCTTGCATGCCTACTAGCGCTGGATAATGTTTCGAAGCACGGAAAATTAATCCGCCCATTGCCCCCGAAATGTACCGTGTTTTCCAGGCTATAGTCCGGGGACTATGCATGTTTATAAGTTTAAATTTTAGGCTCTACAGACTATCTACGCGGGCAGAATACACAGGAATTTTGTTTTTCAAGATCGTTCATTATGACGAGACGTGACATATTTTGTGAATGAAAGAGTATGTCAATGATGATTTATGTATAATACAAGCTTCCACGTTAGCTAAGAAAGCAGATATTTGTCGGCGTGTGCCGTGTATGCAAAGATTTTCGTGTCGACTAAGCACCGGAAGCACCGGGTGCGGACTATCTAAGAAAACACTTTTATTTTTGACCCCAAATTTGCCCTTGCGGACTATAGCCTAGAAAATACGATGATATTTTAATATGCACTCGCGAAAAGCTGCAATCAGAGTCAGTGATGTTAAATACCAGTTGTCAGCATTGCTAGATCGAAGCTTCATGTATAGCCAATTTACAACCCATCTTAGCGCACATCATGGCAAGGTTTTTAAACATCTGTAGGTTGATCTTTATATATATATTTTTTTTAAAATTTACGTTCGAAGATTTTTGCAACTTCAGAAACTCATAACATTTAGTAAAAGGGGTCAATCTAGCAACGCGTGTCCGATCCCCAATGAAGCGTGCAACTTTATTCCATTGCCACATTTTTTTTGCGCACCAAGAGCATTGTGCAGCAGGGCTATTTGAGCGAGCGGCAAGTTTACGGAGAGACACTTTGGTGTCGTTTCTGCACTTCGCGATACAAATCGTGTGCGGTGTGTGCATACGGCTACAACTATTTTGTTCGCATACGCGTTAAACAAACAAAAGGCGGCATAGCAAAAAGCAAACAAAAAGAAAGAAAACGAGAACAAATATGCAATTTTTACGTAAAATTGTCATTACAAGCCCTTTGCGCCGGAATAGCAAAAACACAAGTTAAAAAAAAGGAAAAAAAACGACACGATTTAGAACACACAAAACAGCACTTTTTTGTGTTTCTTGTAGATTATAACATTAAAACCACCACGCAACAATGACAACCCTCGCAACAGAGTTTCAGATTTTAATTACATACAAACAAGAAATACATTCGCGACAACTTTCAAAGTCAACGATAAGTGCAGGACGGGAAAAATTCCCGCAAATAGGTACAAAGTGAAAGAGTTGAGTCGCCTTCGAGCAGTCACGCTACGTCACGGTTGGCTAGATGCAGATTTGCCATGTACCCGGAAGAAACTACTACCCCTATTCACCAGGCGCGAGTAGCGCCTGTTTTACCACTGACTAGTGACGTCATCGACTAAAAGGATCACGTGGCGAGTGATTGTCGCCACTAAGTGAGCGCTTGATATTCACCGGTCGTGTTTAACGACTAACAAATCTTAGTCATGGGGTAGGGCTAGTTTAGCCGGTGTTTAGCGGGTGACTTGCGGCTCAGCGCCATGGCCAACTCGTATCACCGCTGACTGTCAGCGCTAACGAAGCACTTACTGTTTCGAAGCGCTGGGGGTACACATCTAGAAAGAATTGGAGGAGCAAATAATGTGTATATAGCCATGTTGGGCAGTCAGAAATACCGCTAAATAGATTTCAGCAGGGCGCTGGACGACGAGAAAAAAACGCATTTACGGGCGCTTCCATATTTGTTTATGTCGCTGGAAATGCAGCTTCAGTGTTTCTCCCTGGCGTTGTTTTCAAATTTTTCTTTGTAAAACTCTGTCTCGGACAATATGTCTCTCATTGTAACTTTTTTTTCCTGATAAACATCTAAAGTTTATTTTTTTAGGATCAAATACCCATTTACGCAGTGGCGTTTAAGTATGCATATGCGTGACCTATCTTTTTACGTCACTTCCGATAGTTAGTTCCGACTAGATAGCCACCCGCTCGCTTCGCGCTCGTGAATAACGCAGAACATGATCGCTCGCTAGTCGCGGATTTCTCGTTTAGATCGCGACTACTTAGTCGTGCTACTAACCTTAAAACCGCGCTAGTTACTCGCGCCTGGTGAATACGGGTGGACATCTCCCAGCTGCGTATGTAAAAACCGAGGAGCCAGGAGGCATGTACACCAACACAGTGTTCACGAACAAGCCCGCGTTTACCCACATCGAGTGTGGGCATTGCGCGTGCGCAGTAACCAGATTCGCGGCAGGCGATCCTCCTCCGCATGCGCAGCGCCGATGGCAGCGCCACCGTAGTGGAGTGACGTCAGAAACTTGGGTTGGTCTATACTTCGTTTCACTTTAAGTCCAACCACGGCCGACTTTACAATATAAAAGAGCCAATCAACGGCGCCAGAAAAGTGCATCGTCATGACACTAACGCTAATCACCGTTGTCCGTTTGCTGGCGCTGACAATTATGCACAGTAAATGCGCCGCAGTCATGTTGTGTTTTTGCTGTGTTTGATTAGTTTAGCCGGTGATAACATACACAAAGGTGATGAGCGCCGTGACGAAGCACTTTTGGAGCTGTTTGATTGGCTCCCTCGGTTCGTAGCGTCGGCTGTGTTCGGACTAATGGCGCGTTCACACTTGCGGATTCGCGGGCGGGTCCGCGCAGGCGGGAAGTTGGTTTTGGATCTGGGTGGTGAAATAGACTTGTCGCTGACGAAAAAATCTGGATCAGTCCGGGACCCAAGTCCAGATTTTCCACCAGCGGCGAGTCGATTTCGCCACCCGGCTCCGAAACTGCGTGGATCCGCCCGCGAATCCACAAGTGGAAACCCGCCAACACTTGAGTATAATTGCTTAGCCGTGACGGTGTCGTTTTTAACGGAATCGGTCACAAAGCGAAAATAAAAGGAAAAGCGTCGGTACTTGCGAGATTGAATGTCTTATACAGAAGAGAACGGCGTTCGGTTGCAGCATAAACAAAGAAAAACAAAAGGAAGAGCCATATCGAAGAGCTCATCGATTCACGCGCGCACAAAGAGGAGACAATCTTTTAACATTTGAAGATGAATCCACACTTGTGAACATGCACGCAACAATTCGGAGATGAAATAGTGACAGCTCGTTTTGCGATGACTCTGAGATGCAATAAAAAAAAAAGTAAGAAAAAAAAAAAGGTGTGGTACCCTTTTCATACTTGGCTCGTTTGCACACCACCTCCTAGATGTCATGGGGGCTTTGTCGCTCGCCGAGACGCTGCTAAAAAGATTGGCCAATCGGCCTCTGACACCGTGAGATGGTTAGAATCTTCGAAATGTCTGATTGTCGCAGCACGCTAGAGAGTGAAAAGACAAGTTATACTTGGTTTTGTATTAAGTCCAGACGCAGCCGACGCTACGAGCTGATGAGACCAATCAGAGAGTGTCAAAAACGCACCACAATGGTGTTCGCTATGCTCCTGAACATGGTCTATCAGTCGATACACCAATCACAAACAGAAAAGGCCTAGCGACTTGCACTTATGACGATCCATGATTGGTCCACTTTACCTGGTATAGTCAGCTGCGTCTGGCCATAAGCTGAAACGAAGTGTGGCCCGCTATCTCTAAAAAAAGTCTGTGCGTCTACTTTCACGCACAACACTCAGAGAGCCAAGCAGCGCAACGTACGGAGGCAGCTCAGCGAATGAATATGCGGAAACATATGTTTAGACCAAAAAACGCAGTCTGAGTTGTGACATTAAGCCATGCAAAACGTCACGCTTGCATTGCTTAATGTCACAACTCAGACTGCGTTTTTTTGGTCTAAACATATGTTTCGGCATTGTCATTCGCTGAGCTGCCTCCGTAAGTTGCGCTGATTGGCTCTCCGAGTGTTGTGAGTGGAAGTAGACGTACAAACGTTTTTTAGAGTACAGAGACGCCGCGGAAAGTGCGCGGGGAATCACTTGGCCGTCTTGGGCGACCGCCTCTTGATCCAGAGATGAAGGCCTTCCTTGGCTCGGACGATCACCTCGCACGTCAGCCTCAGCCTGTCGAGGGGAGTCTTGGCCTCGAAGTCGTACCTGTGGAGCATCTTCGCCACGAGGATCTTCATTTTTGTCATGGCGAAACGCTGACCTGAAATAAAACGAAGTGGGGTTAGTTTTCGCCACACTGAACGGGACAACGCAGAGAGCAACATCCGGGAAGCCTTAGCGTTACAGCTAAGGTTTCAGTAAGATACCTAACTTACATACAGTTTATCTTAGCTGTAGTCACTGACACCGGGGCGTGGCTTATTGGGTTCGCACTTTTTGCTTCGTGATTTGTTCTTTCTTATCAGCGAATGACGCAATCGCGTAGGCTCACGAGAGACAACAAGATGGTTGTAACTTTTCATGGCCCGCTAGCGTTTCTTATGTTGTCAGTGACCACAGATCGGACGTGGCGATCATTCTCTGGAAATCTGAAATGCAGTCCGAGTCACGCTTAAAAAATCTCTGAAACACCGGGAACGATTGTAAGAACGTTCACTTGCCGGTTTTTATATGGTTATATCGTTTAAACTACTCCCGGACGTGTCTGAATTTCTACGAGGTATGCTTCTTTCATGACGGCAACACGGATTTGAAAATAACTGACGAACAACGAGAAGCAAACGTGTACTGCTAGTTTCCGTGCAGTGGGTAACTACTACCACGTTCCCAGGCGTGAAGTTTGGCTAACAAGCGTGCTGTTTAAGGACAGAAAAAAAATATTAGGTGTCGCGGTAGAAAATCACGTTTTCCAGAAACCCTACGAAAGAATTGCGTTTCGCTTAAAGGAAAACCTTGAAAAAGTGGCAGGGCTAGAGGGGCCGAGAAAGAAAACAAAATATGAAAAGAAAAAGTGTTACTAATTGCAATCGACCGAGTGACCATTGCACGTCGTAGAATAGGCCACTCGGGCAGTGCAGCGGCCTCGCGTCACAACAAGGAACGAATCGGAAGACCTTGCACAACGTATTTGAACGTTGTAGTCGTTCTCAAGCAGTCAAGGCGTTGTTTTTGTCTGTCTTATGAAACCGTGGGACGCGCCTCCTATTGATTTGTATACCCTCCTATAGCTCCCATTGTATCATGCTCCGCTTCACCTTACAATGGACCGCAGAGGAGTCTACAAGCAAGTTCGTCTGCTTCTTTTGCCGGGGTTGTGGTGACGTCAAAACGCCGGGCTCTGCTTGACTCTGATTGAGAGATAGTGGGTAGACTTCAAGGCAGGCGGCTTTGAGGTCTACCCACTGTCCTTCAATCAGAGCCAATCAGAGCTCGTCATTCTGGCGTCGCCACAACCCCTGCAAAATAAGTAGAGGAACTTGCGCTCCGCATTGAAGCCAATCCAATGCCGTGTGACTATCACGTAACACTCCGGGAAAAGGGGGGGGGGGGGGGGTGCCGGGGTGCGTTGTCACGTCATACGTACAGAGCACTGCGTTGGCTGGGATCAGCCGTAACGTCCGCTACGGTTTATCATAAGGTGAAACGGAGTATAATTGGAGCGTTTCTGAAATGGCACGAGAGTAGCCGAGTTTAACCGTATACTGCTACTCGTCGCGTCGTGATCCTGGCGGTTGGTTGGAGAAGCGCCGGCTAAAATACCAAGCGGGCGCAGGTGTCGCCGTCGTCACGGTGTCACAAGTCGTGATCGCTGGAGTTTTTGTCGACTGGTCAGGTGCAGAGCGAACTACAACAACGGAACAGGGGTCTGCCGTCCTCACCTCCGCCGATGTAGTGCCACCAGCGATGCAGTGAATCGCAGTAAAAATTCTGGTTCACATATTTGCGTTCTGAACACGACCGACTGACTTGCAACCAATTACGACTCGTTAAGACAAAATGATACCACGGTTGCAGTGGCGACCAGCCGTATCAGCAACGAGCAGATGACGGTAGCCCGCAGATATCGCACCCTGCTGTCTGCTCACTGCGCCGATAGGAAGATGGCGCCACGCGTTACAAGCATCGCTAACTCTGTCATCTGCAAACCCGGCCGTCGTTAACCCTGGCAAGTTTGTTTGAAAAAGTTTTCACGGGAAAGGAGCTATATCTTGAAATTGCATCAACTTAAATTCGCCACTCCAATGCACACTCGTTGAAAGTTAGAGCTTCTATGCATGGGCGCGGATTTCTTTCGGCTGATTTTATAGCGCAGAGGAGAGTTCGGGCAGCAGGGCGTCTTGAAGTACTGTGCTAATCAAGTGTGTTCTCGCAGAACCCTTGCCATGCACGGATTCTGCTGCAATAGATTTCGACCAGTTACCGTTTCGTCACGTGCATCACAATCTTCAGCGCCACAGGCCTAGCCGGGGCGCCCCTGACGACGGGATTGAGCTACAAAAGAAGCCAGCACACCGGCCAGTCCTCAGTCTGGCAGCAGTGCATCTTAAACTACTGTGCTAATCAACTGTATTCTCGTAGGTAAGCACCGCTTTTGCGGTAAGAATTTCAAAACTTGTGCACAGCAGCCGAACACAGCAACTGCTGAAAGCGCCGTTTTGAAAGTGTGTAACTTTTGTGTCCTTCGGTGATGCTTTTGGTCTCCCTATCGACATGAGTAAAGAGGGCAAGGATGTTGCGAAGGCCCTTGACGAACTGAAACTGGAGTTGAGGGCCGACCTTAGGACTTTGAAAGAAAGCGTTAAACATTGTAACGGAACTTGCGACAGAGTAAATTATATTAAATACGAACTCAAGGAAATGCGAAAAGAAGTGCAGCAACTTTCGAGAAAGAACGAAGAGCTAACCGCTGAGAACCGCAGGTTAAGTGAAAAACGTTTATAAATTCGATCAATATCAAAGGTAAAAAACCTTCAAATAAACGGTGTAGCCGAAGCAGGCGACGTGTATGAGGTTGTGAGAAGAATCGGGAACCTTTCGACGAGCCTATCTTATGTTCGGACACCGATGTATGCCATGGTGTCCCAACCTTCAGATCCCACAACAGAAACATAATTGTTCGCTTCGTGCAGCGAGCCAAACGAGTCAAAATCTTGCAAAAAGGCAAAAAACAGAGGTCAATAACAAAGGACGTCGCTTACGGCGGGCAGGGCAGCCCTATAGCTATGTGAATGAGCATTCAATAAGTTCAAATAAAGGCTCCTGGGCGCTGCAATCGCAAAAAAGAAAACCGTATGCTGGAACTTTTTCTGGTCGTCTGGTGGGAAAAGTTTTGGTCCTAAAGATAATGAGGCAGTTGCGATCCGTGGTACTAGCATGACCGATGTGGAAAAAATAACAAATTAAAGATCAGAATTTTTTGAGCGAGCACGAGCCAATGATTCATCATGGAAAAGACTCGGTATTTATTCCCTACTGAGCTCAGATTTTATCTACAACATGAACCGAAACATTCTTTTACGTTATTCCCCCTACATTGCCAGACAGCGAGAAACAAATGTGATGACATATACTCTGTTTCACCTTATGATGTACCACAGAAAAGGCTACAAGAGCGAGCTCCTTGCTCTGGGGCAGATCTCGGCGGCACAAGCTCTCGTGCACTGAGGGCAGCTGCCAAAGCTATGAGCTCGCGCTTCTAGCCTTCGCTGCGGTACGACATAAGGTGAAACTAGGGTGCCTTCATGTGGGTGAAACGGAGTATAGACAATTGCAAGCATGGCGCCACAAGTGGTGCCCCATGCGTGCAAGCGCGTGCAACGCGCGGGTGAACGTAGCTTTCGCAAGCTCGTAATCGCACGGGCATGCCTGCTCGAGCAGAGACATGGCGGCGGCCAGTCGCCCAGCTTGCAATCGTCTATAGAATATATATTTTTCATCAAGTGAGTTTTAGTTTTGACGTGATAATCCTCTCGGAAACATGGTATAACAATGAGTCAGATGCCTTCACGTTGCGGGATTGTAACAATCATCGCCTTAATCGCAGCACGCCGCGGGAAGGAGGTGTCTGTATGCTTACAAAAAATAGCATAACTTGTGAGATAATATAAAAATTTACATGCGAAAGGCAAGACAACGAGCACTATACTTCGTCTCATCCTACGATGGACTAAAGGCCAAAGCCACGGGCCGCAAGATCCAATCTCGTTGCAAGCTAAAATATGACACGCTTGGCATTGGTTAGGTGTGGACGAATGATCCTTCAAGTCCAAAAGCGCTGCATCATTTTTATAGCTTCGACACTGCAATGAGCCTGTATGACATAGCTTTCTTTGCAATGTAAAATTGTTGAGTCACTCAGTGCTGTTCAATCCGAACTACCGTTCGCCCCTCCCCATTAGTGATTCGAGACGCGGGCGCCGATACGTGCATCGAAGCGAAATACCACGCAGTTTTTAAGTGGCTCGTGATTGGATCTGGCGGTCCGTAGCTTCTATCGTAAGGTGAGACGAAGTATAATGCTGCGCTAAAAAAAACAAAAAACAAAAAAAAACAACCAAAAAAACACTATTTTCTCTGTTCTTAATCTGCATCCCATGGCCAGCTTTCTGGGACTCGCTGTTTTAGTTCCCGATTCTCACGACACGTGGCGTATCAACCTTGAGCAACATAGAGTTCCTGTATGCTTCCTACGGGAGCCAGGGTTGCGCGTTCACCTCCGTGGCGCCGTCTTTCCTGCACGGCATGTCGATCCCGTTCGTCACGTGACTGAATTCGGTGAATAGCGGCGCCGCGCGTTCGAGGCGCGCGGCGCGCTCAAAAGCAGGGGAACGTACGCCGGGGCGCGTGCAACGTCTACTTTCCTGCACGGCACTTGATCCGGCTCCTCACGTGATCGGATCTCGGCGAATAGCGGCGCGGCGGCACGTGGGAAACAGACGCGCAACTCTGGCTCCCGAGCGCCCAGTGCGCATACACTATTGGCTCTCTCCTTTCCCCCCCAACCTCTATCACAACGCTTCTCTCTCTCTCTCTCTGGCTCCCGCCCGCTCATTCACACTGGAAGCGGATCCGCGTTCGCAAAGCGGTTGCGAACGCGGTTGTATAAAGATCCAGTACAATTGCACGCGCACTTGATTTCATCGAGTGCGCATGCAATTGCACTGGATCTTTATACAACCGCGTTCGCAACCGCTTTGCGAACGCGGATCCGCTCCCAGTGTGAATGACCGGGTAAGGAGCCTATAGAGGAACTTTAGAGCA